TCACTGGGAGTCATCATCCTTAATTTAAAAAATGATGAGGTTTCGAACAATCAGTTTTTGGGAGTCATCATCTTTATCAAAACTCATCAGATTTTGAATCATCAGCGGTTGCTACATCAAAAATCAAATTTTTCAAATGTTTTTGTTGTAGCCCCAGTGGCGCCCCCACTAAGAAAAGTCAAGTGGAGCAGCCGATGACGCCTCCTCCGCGTCTTCTTCCTCAGCCTCCTCTTGACCTCCTTGCTCTGCCTTAGGCGAGGTCCTTCTCCTCCTTCTTCGATGCCTTGACCTGCTCCGTGAACGCCTGGACCTTTTCTTCTCCTTCAATTTCTCTGAGCGAGGAGTCCTTTCTCTTGCTGACTCCCTTTCGCCCTTGTCCTCCTCACTTCTGGGTTCCGTCTCCTCTTCCTTTACCTCCTCTTCCCCTGACTTGGCTGCTTCTTCAACTCTTTCAGGTCCTTTTGGAAGGGCCTTCGCTGCTGTACTCTTGTGGGCCTTCTCCTCCTCGTTGAAGTACTCTTCACTGTCTCCCTGAGTCTCCTCCTTCACACGGCGACGTCGACGAAGAGGTTCACGTGTATCACTGGCCTTTTCTTCTGCTCCTTGATCTCCTTCAGAGGCTTTCCTGGACTCCTCTCTATTCGCTGCTTCTCCTCCTTCTCTTTCTTTATGCTCGGACCGCTCTGGGTCTCTTGTACTGCCGTCTGGATCTCGTCCACCTCCTGTAGTTCCTCCCCCCTCCCGTGCGCCCCCTGGACGAGGAGGAGGTTGCTCCCTTCCGCCGGATCCACCGGCGAGGAGCCCAGCAGCTCGGGGTGCCGCCCTCGCTGCCGCTAGTCGATCTCCGAAGTCACAAAGCTCGCCTGCCAGGATCCGCAACCGGTTGGCCGTGCAATCCAAATACCCAGGAGCGTCACTGAAGTCGTGGATGTGCCAGTGAACCCTCCTGGGCGTGGTGCACACTCCACAGCCGCAATGCTGTGGGTGGCCCCGCGACATACCACTTTGAGCCGGAGCTGAGGAGGTCAAGACGTTAAGGGGGCCTCGCCTTTAGTTACAGGGCCGTAATATACTATATCCAGAGATATCCAGAGATAGTCCTCACATTTGGTCTTATCGAGAGTCCTGTCGCATCACATGTCTTCAGACCGAAATCTTGGATGCGATTGGCCTTGGAGGCATTGTTCTTGTAATCCGAGACTGCCTCGGCAATCGTTGCACAGTCTTATACGTCTTACTATTAATCTATAGACCCCTTTTGACTTTATACCTTTATTAAAGATGTGTTTCAACTTTGCATATCTTTTCTTTTCGTTATTAGCCGTTCCTTCGATGTTTTGTTTGTTATCCTTCAAACTTTGGTCCGTCAGGTTCAAAGGACGAATGTGGCGTATCAGCTCTCACAGACTCTCGCGCCTCCTTCAACTTGTCGTGGTTCGAGGTAAAGAGCTCCTGGTGTCTCGTCTGCGCTCAACAGCTCCATCTATGCGCCCACAAGCAGTCCAGCTTCTTTAAAACACACAAATTACAGCTTAACTTCAAGGACTTACTTGCTATGTGTGGCACAGAAACTATTTATATACGTCTACCACTATATAGATATAGATCTTCTCCACACCCTCTGTTCAAGTCCTGCTTATTTCTCGAGTTTGTTGCAACAGCAAACACACACACATACACACACACACACGTCACACACTCTGACACTTGTATTCAGTTAACTCAATTTCCCGATGGGAA